CAACCATTGACAATGAACTAAGCACCAAAAAACAAATGAAAAGGAAAACAACAACGATTGTTGGACCAACATTCACAATGAACTAAGCACAAAACAACCATCAATACACCAAGCACAAAGAAAATGCAAACACCACATTGTTATTCAAACATTACAGCACCATTCATTACAGCAAAATCGAATAAAACCAGTTCAAGTTTAACCAATTTACAAATATATTTTAATTGAACTCAAAATAAAAAATTTGAACTAAAAAACCCTAAAAAATCAGTAATTTCGGACCAAACACCCTGAAAAACCTAACCCTTTTCGAACCAAAAACCCTAAATCGGCCCAAGAATTCTGTAATTACGGACAATGGGAGACGGAGAGTACCGTTAGGCCGATGAGAGAGAGCCGACGAGAGAGAGAGAGCCGACGAGAGAGAGAGCCGACGAGAGAGAGAGAGCCGACGAGAGAGAGAGCCGACGAGAGAGAGAGAGAGATCCGACGAGAGAGACAGCAGTCGGCGGGATTCTGTAATTTTTCGCCAATAGAGAGAGCCGACCGTGAGAATTTGTCGCCGATGAAGTTGTCGCCGATGAAGATCCGATAGAGAGAGAGAGAGAGAGTTGTCAGGCGGGGTTTGCAGAAAATGAAATTGAAGAAGATGAAAAAAATAGGGGGGAAATAGAGAAAAAAATGAAAATAGGAAAAAGATTGATAAAATTGTGTATAAGGGCAATTATGTCTTCTCACATGCCCAAATGGCTATATTTTATCTTTTTTAGAAAGTTGGCCATATTTCATTTTTGCTTTTGCTAAAGTGCTATAAAGGGCCATTGCTACTAAAATAAAACTCGAATGATATCAGCATATAATATACAAATGACCCACAATTTTGGGAGCATGTAAGGTCTAGTCTGGATCATTGCAGTATGTACACCCGAAAAGTCTGTTTTAGAGCCAAACAAAAACTACCAAGCAATTATTTTTAGAGTAAATCTGCTCCTCTCGCCACACCCTCAAAACTATGAAAATAACTGTTAGAAATTTGGCCCAGTCCGAATTCTTATCTCAGGCCCAAGGAAGTCCCGGCCCAATCCCGACTGGGCCTGGCCCTCTATCACACATAATTGGCAGGAGTAATTTATGACCGTTAGATTAAGGGATTTAATCCCAACCGTTAGCTACACATTATATACCTCGTCTCCTTCTCAACCTACCACAACAATCAGACCATTCTCTGCTCAATTTTTCACGCAACTGTACATCTCTCTTTCTGTGAGAGAAACACATCGATCGACCTCTCTCTCTTAATCTCTTCCCTTTAGAGTGTGTGAGAGGTGAGTGTCACCGTGATTGTCGCCGACGGAGTGCCGTCACTAAGCCGCTGTTGTCGCCTCCTCCTCTCTTCGGTCATAAGCACTTTTGTGGTGCTTCGGGTGGTTCCGTGTGCGAAGGAGAGGGCTTGGCGACAGGGCTAGGCTGAGGTTTGGCTTGTGTGAGGAGGCACAACCCGGGGAACGGACCGAGGAACCGGGGCTGCCGTTCGCGTCCCGCCACCGAGCCGCAACTCACTGAGGGTACCGGGCTCAAGGGCGATCTGAGCCTGAGGATCCGACTTCGTGTCATTCCTCTTCGTCAATCGTTTGGTCTAAAATGAGTCCCTCTTTCCTTCTCTTCAATTTTATTACATTTCAGCTAGTTTATATAGATTTGTTCTTATTAGTGTAGCTGAAATTGGTCCCTCCATTTTGTTGTTAAATACCATTGCTTTGGGTTTTATTTTTACAGCACAAAAAGGGACCGGAAAAAGGGCTTCAATCAGCCCAGGCCCGAAAATGCAGCAGCTAGGTTCAGGCCGGGACTGAAAGAGAGCTGACCGGAACTTCGTTGGACACGAGCAGCACCTCCGGGCTTGAAAGCGTGCACTACGGTCAGTTGAGTTCAAACCGAAGCTTCCGCTACTACTAATGACGAGAGCGGTGCGACCAGGACAACCACATAACAGTGGTATCAGAGCGTGAGCCATCCCGGTACTGGTAAGTCGAGTGCCTAGCGTGTAGGCCTCGCTCTGGTATTGACCTTAACTCAGCTTTTACCGCTTTCGTTGTAGACCCTGGACGGGGATTGCATCCAAAGAATAGGATTGTTGTAGCCTCTGGACGGGGATTGCGTCTAGAGAATAGGACTTCCTTGTTGGGAAATTAGCTGCTAGATTGATAGGCTAGACGAGCATGTGTTATGTGTTAACTTGCTTATAATTGTTGTTCTGAGTCTGTAGTTATTCTTCATGTTTCAAGCATTAAATTTCGTATTTTTTGCTGTCTTGTGCTAATTTTAGTGATATTTGCTTCGTGTTGAATTTCTGTTATTTTTTGAGGTTGGGTGTTTAATTGCTATTGTGCATTGTGCTGAAATTTGCTAGTTTTTACTGCTAAAAAATTAATTGGTGCTGAAATTGTGTGTTTCAACTGCTGAATATTAATTTGGACGGTTTTCTGTGTGAATTTACGTGCTAAAAAATTTGTTTTTTGGGCTGGAATCTGAGTGTTTTAATTGCTGAAATTTGTGCATATATTTTCTGTGAAATCTACTGTGTTTTCTGTGAAAATGGCTTCATTTCCAGCTTTTAATTTGGCCCTGTTTGATGGAAAATCTGATTTTTCCATTTCGCAACAAAAAATGAAAGGGGTACTAATTCAACAGAGGGTATTGTTGTTATATGCAGATTAACAACGATGATTTGGTGAACATAATATGTATGAAAAGAACTTAAAGTCGAGCAAGAGTATATTTATTTCTGAATGTTCAATCCCTTTTATTTTTGTCTTTCTTGCTATTTATAGTTCTGTACAAGATAGATATAGTAGTAATCATTACAATTGACAAGTCAACGGCGGCAAAAGAGTGCTTTTCATGCAGCGCGCTACCCAATTGAACAGTAATGATTGCTTTGCTGAGGTGGCACCGCCTTTTGATGTCTGACACCGCCTTTGCAGTGTCCCGATATGAATGTCCCGATATGATTATACGGGATATCGTTTTGTTGCAGACTGTACGGATATGGTCATGTCAGATATCGGTTCACTTGTACTGATGTCAGTTCGCGAGTTGTTGATAAATAACTTCTTGTAAATCGACATCGTCTTGTCCTTAAGCTCTTG